CAGTGGCTCTACTCCGAGTCCCTCCTAGATGACTGAGCTTCTCACCCTATCTATAAGGGAGAGCCCAGACACCCTGCAGAGGAAACTCATTTCAGCTGCTTGGATCTGTGATCTCCTTCTTTCAGTCACTACCCAAAGCTCCTGACCATAGATGAGGGTAGGAACGTAGACCCACTGGTAAACTGAGAGCTTCACCTTCTGGCTCAGCTCTCTTCACCACGACGGACCGGTACAACACCCACATCACTGCAGACACAGCACCAATCCACCTGTTGATCTCCTGCTCCATTCTTCCCTCATTCATGAACAAGACCCTGAGATACTTAAACTCCTCCACTTGGAGCAGGACCTCCTCCCCGACCCGGAGAAGGCACCCTACCATTTTCCGGCTCAAGACCATGGTCAGGGATTTGGAGGCACTGATCCTCATCTTGGAGTTGTGAGTTGAAGCTCCGTCTGACAGGAGACTCCCAACTCCCAAGTGTTTCTCCCAACCACGCCCCTCCAGGTCTCACTGTCATTACCCACGTGAGCGTGGAAGTCCCCCAGCAGAACGTGGGAGTCCCCATTAGGAGCGCTCTCCAGCACCCCCTCCAAGGACTCCAGAAAGGGTGGGTAATCTGATCTGCTGTTAGGCTTATAGGCACAAACAACAGTCAGGACCCGTGCCCCCACACGTAGGCGGAGGGAGGCTACCCTCTCGTTCACCGGGGTGAACCCCAACGTACAGGCACTGAGATGGGGGCAAGAAGTATGCCCACTCCTGCTCAGTGCCTCTCAGCATGGGCATCTCCAGAGTGGAAGAGTGTCCAACCCCTCTGGAGGAGACTGGTTCCAGAGCCAGAGCGGTGCGTCGAGGTGAGTCCAACTATATCTAGTCTGAACCTCTCAACCTCACACATCAGCTCAGGCTCCTTCCCACCAGAGAGGTGACATTCCACGTCCCTAGAGCCAGCTTCTGTAGCCGAGGATCAGACCACCAAGGTCTTCGCCTTTGACTACTGCCCAGCACACATTGCACCCGACCCCTACGGCCCCTCCCACAGGTGGTGAGCCAATGGGAAAGGGGACCCAAATCTCCTCTTCAGGCTGTGCCCGACCGGGCACCATGAGTGAAAGCCTGGCCACCAGATGCTCGTCAACATGCCCCACCTCCAGGCCTGGCTCCAGAGTGGGGCCCTGGGGGTCCGGGCGAGGGAACACTAAGTCCATCTGTAGTATTCATCATAGGGGTCTTTGGGCTGCACTTTGTCTGATCCCTCACCTAGGACCTGTTCGCCTTGGGTGACCCTACAGGGGGCATGAAGCCCCTGACAACATAGCTCCGAGAATCATTGGGACACTCAAACATCTCCACCACTATAAGCCCAGGGGCCTAGAACCATAGACCTTACACCAGACATCACAGATGCAGAGCCCTAGACCCTGTGCGTAAATCATAGAACTTAACTCATAAACGCTGAACCCTTAACCATAAACTGCTGACAGCAGATTCTAATCCCCAAATCATGACCAATATGTTCTGACCCATAACCAGTAGGCCCTGAAACATGGACCATAGGTCCTAAACCATAAATCATTGACCCACAATCTGGAACAATAAATAAACCATATACTACAGGTCTTGAACCATGGATCATGAACCAAAGATGACAAATCCTGGATCATAACCCTTAGTCCCATAAACTGTAGTCCATAGACCCTGAATCCATGAACCATGAAACATACTCCACACACACAAATCCCACAGCTCCATAATAATAATAAACTACAGACTCTGAACAAAAGATCTTGAATTGTGAACCTTAAATTATCTACTAAATCCTGTACCGTAACTTATAGGACCTGAACTGGAAACTATAACTTGACAATAGACAACAAATCTTATCATTTTGTTGTTCTGCAGTGTCTCGTCCTTTTTTCTGATTCGAATTGATGAAATCTCTCTGTGGTTCCAGTTTGATGTTCAGCTGAATTTTGATACTTGATCAGTTATCTTAAACATTCTGGCTGTTGGACATTCAACCAGAAATGAGACTTTCTTATAAATGAAACAGAGCCAGATATTTTTTTAGTAACTGTGTTGGACTTTGTTATTCTTTCCATAGTTCAATATGGAGTTGATGTTTTATAGACATTTAGATCAGACAAACTGGAGTCGCTTCAGTTCTCTGCTCATAAATGAACACAACAGAGAAAAACAATTCTGAACCTGTTTGCTTAAGTGTGAAACATGACCTCTGCATAATTTATTCCATCTGGTTTAAATCTGTAAACAAACTCTGACCTTTCTGGATTTGTCTGAATGATAAGAGAGAACTCACAGACAGGAAGACGTGTTTAAACATTGATACAGTCCAAGTTGTATTTTAATGTTCCACAAAATGTGGTGTAGATTCTCAGTCATCCAGAACATGGGAAATGCATAAAAGTTAAAATAAATAAATAAATAAATAACAGACTGGACTTCTGTAGAATAAAGGTCCATTTTATTTACTTAATTTTACTTTTTAATTTCCAACAAATTCAGATTACAGATTTGGTCCTTTTATGTTCTTATAAGTTTGGAGCAATAGTTTAACGTCGGGCACATTTCCTGTCATGAATCGTTTTAACCAACCACAGAGCTTGATGATGCTGGGCTGTGGTGCAGAGGTAGGACAGGGATTTTGGGACCAGAAAGTCACAGATTCGATTCCCCACCATGTCCACATGTTGTGGTGTCCTTGAGCCAGACATCTAACCTCGAACTGCTCCACTTGTGTGTGTGTGTGTGTGTATGTGTAATGTGTGATTGGTTAAATGCAAAAGACAAAGTTTGTTGTGTGTTGGGTGTGCATGCAATGATGATAACACTAGAAGTCCTTACCAGCAGCTCCTCAGTCTGCAGTGATTCAGAACTGATTGAACTTAGACCTTGAACCCTTGAACTAGAGTTGGACTCAGTTTAAATAAAGTGATAAATCCAAAACCAAATATATCCTTTGTTCTAGCCCTGGACTCACCTGGCTCTCCAAAAGTGATGACTTCAGATGGTGGTTCAGATAGAGTGGAGTCTCTCAAACTTGAACTCTCCTCCTGGATCTCCACACTGCCATCTTGACCCACATGACCCACATGAAGTTTCTTGATGGCATTGAGCAGGGCAGCTCGAGGAACTGGCTGTGTCAGGTTGGGCCGGGCGCTCAAGTGCAACATGTTCAGGATGTGACGTTTTACTGCCTCCACCATGTCGCTCTGACCTCCAGACCAAGATGAGTTCTTTTTGATCTGAGACAGAGAGCAGGATGGACAATCAGAGGATGGTGTTCCCTCCTGGAGCAGTGGTGCTGCGTCCCGCAGTGAAGAAATGCTCAGAGATGAGTCAACAAGAAGAAAAATGGGAACAAAGAAGAACATGGAAACCCAATAACTCATTATGGTCTCTAATGCTGCTTTCCAGCAAAGGGTCAGCTCAATACAGTCAGCAGAGTCCAGTTGCTGTCGTGTCAAACACAGTGGGCCAGTTGGAACAAGACTGTTCTCTGATAGGTGGACAATGGAGCTGGCTGTAAAAATCCACCAGACAAGTAGAGTTGATAGCTAATTTGGGTTGATTGGGTTTGATGGATCAGTTGCTTTGGGTCAATCAAGCTGGGTTAGATGAACCAATGAGTTTGAGTATGTTAGGTCAGATGGTAGAGCTTGATCCTCTTTCTGGTGTCTGAGGTAAAGATATGCAACAGCAGCCAGCGGTGAAAAAGCAACAGATGATTCTGGATTTGCTCCTGGTGGTCTGATGCAAGATTGTTTAAGTCTGTAGCTCTGAAGTTCCAGTTCTCTGAGCCGGTGGTGGTTGAGTTGATGGTGGAACTGGTTCGTTGGCGGTCCTGAAGTTCTGCTGGTGTGAGCTGAACTGAAGACTGAGCAGGGTCACTGCAGTCTCCCTCTGCGCTCCCTGACAGCAGTTATACCTCTGAGGCTGTTAGATCCCTCCCTCCATCCACAGAGGGGTTTCCCTCTGACTCACACTGGCACACAGTCTACACACACACACACACACACACACACACACAC